AAACTGTAGGACATACCCCAACCACCAGCCATCAAAAATGATCATCAAGGACCCAAAGGCTGAGCTACTTCTGCGCAACGCAATCCAGAAAAGTGGAATATACCAACACCCAGAAGACTACATCATGGCCATGGACACATTCTATGTGGAGTCATTCAACAATGTTTTGAACCTGTTTCATGACAAACGAATTGCATTCGGGAATGAAGAATACATCCGGAGAAGTCGTATGGCTGTTCTTCACTGGAATGAAAATGTAGATAGGCCCTACAGCAGTATTTGGAATCCACCAAAGGCCCAGCTTGCACCTAACATTGGTTCTAGACACCACAAAGGCAAAAAAGTGTACAAGAAGAGAACATTTATGTACACATGGAATATATGGAATACTCACATGAATTTTTTATTTGGAAACTGACCTCAGGATAAACAACTTACCAAGTTCACAAAACACCAGTCATAAAAAAGTATGAGATTCCACTGTTTGGACGATATATTTACATATTGACATTGATTAACACGATATATGACATTTTGTTTTACCTTTGGATAAAACCTTTTCAAAGGGCATTATTATTTCGTGACGGTTTATTGAGCTATGAACACACTAATTGGAAAGCTGTTGTGTTTGCCATGTGCGATGTATATACACGTCTGTAGGTATTATGAAAAACTTAAATAGAATTTTTAGGGAATTTACTCAAAGACTTCTCATTTCTTGATTTTTTTATTCTTCTTTCTATTTCAATATATATTTTCGTTTCTCAATCTTTTCCTCATATGATTACAATATATATATCCATTCTTATTCCTATAATACGTTTAAATGCACAGTACAATAAATATTACTGGTATTACAGTTATAATGTTACATGTGAGTTTAATTATTAAATCAGTTTGGCCTTAGTGGTCATTTTATTTACAACGTTGGTCTTTCAGTGTGTGTGTAGACAGCAGGCTGACCGCAATAGCTATGACCAGAGGCTAGTCTTGTATAACAGGTCTGAGTTTTATCAGCAGCAGCAAGGCCTTACGCCCCCATCCTGTGTATATAATCTAACACTCCCAACTTTTACTCCCATGGGAGTAAAAGTTCGGTCTTTAAGAAGGGCGTAACAACTACCTTTGGGGATTTTGTTTTTTACCCTCTTCTTCGGTACAACAAAAGCGATTAAAATAAATCTGCTGTACCCATGGCAATATTTAAGTTTTCAAGGTCAAAACTATAAACGGAAAAAGACCACAGATAGGGGACGGTCAGGCACATAGCAGGGCGCTTGGTCAAACTTGGTCGGGTTCCATCCCATTAACTAGCAGCTTAATTTCAAGGGGTATTTTGACATTTCAGTTACATTCATTCAAATGAACGGACGACGCGCAAGCTAATACAACCGGAAAGGTATACTGCTCTCTTCTTATTTGAAGCAGTAGCAATATGATGAAACCACGTAAAGCGAGTTTTTGTTTACAACCAGGTGAGAACTGAGCATCCATGAACCTTCTACTTGCCCATAGTAAAACGATTAAAATGTTAAACAACATTTATTTAATGCAATATAAATAATATATTTAAAATTTATTTCTTAGCTCGACTGGGATTTTTCATCGCCGGGCAAAACTTGAACGGGGTTTGGACACTTCCCGACGACACTGTCCTGGATCAGAAAGTCCAGTGGTCAACAGTCATCTTAAACTATGATGGGCCTTGCATGGTGTTCTGGAGGGCTACTGGGGATTATATGTTGGCTGATGGTAAATGTACAGCGAATAATTACCGCTTCATATGCGAAGAAAAGTAGCCGATTCTAATGATTTGAACAAAAAGAACAAATTAAAGTGTAAAAATGTCATGTTGATGTACATTTAAAAAAATTAAATATTTTATAATATAACTTCTGCTTAGATTGTTACATATTTTCACGTTTTAACACTTACTTAATATACTCTTCTACGTCGAAATGACGTTTCATTCAGGTACGACACTACCTGTTCGTCCTTCCGTATGTTACGGTAGGAATATTCTGCCCCAGATGGACCCAGGCCAAGGCATGGGCAAACTCACTGAAAAGGCGAAGAGCTCGATAACAACCATGTAATATATATTTCATGGATGAAAATGCTCCATGCTTGGTAAATAATTACATTCATACAATTTTACAATTAATCATACACATGTCTAGAGGTTAAACAATGAAAGAATATCATTTTCTTAATTTAATACACTGGCTTTTGTTAGGAAGGCGTTGGGTTCTGACCCCTGGCCAAAACATACCATACTTTACAAATGGTTGTTTCTACTCCTGCTTAACGCAATTTAGGAGTGGGACGACTGGTTCGCCCATTGCCAGCATAATGTGACCGGATGGGGTGTCCTGATGGGTGTCTTCGGCAGTTTGTTTCAGTGAGGTAGCACTATAAAGTCGGCATCAGTTCCGCGCTATCACAAGGAAACACACACGTATACATCTTGCACACACCTTAAGGATCCCCGTTCCTCCGCCTGAAATTTGTAATGAGGCATTGGTTTTTTTCTACGGCATCGCTATTGCATAACCATATCATTTCTGAACAATAAACCCATATCTTGCGGTAGTTTCTTGGGATATGAAATTTCGATTTTTTTTCAGTGGAACAAAATTTAACAAAAAACATTTCATTTGATGCAACAATGGTTTATTAGAAATATAACGCATAAAAATTAATATTAATGTCAAAATTGATGAACAAAACACAAAAAAAATAATACTAACACAAACGAAAATGCCCGTTACATGAATCAATACAATTCCGAGTGCCTATGCAACACGTTTAGGACGACGAAAAGAAAATATTGGTGACAAAAAATAAATACCATGCGGACTTACTTATTATACAAAAAATTATAAAGATACAAAAAAAAATAACCAAAAAAAGAGACAACTCTTACATCTGTACCAATAATAATTCTAAATCCCAAAAAGTCATATATACAATTTACAACATACAATATAGCACTTTTTGTATACGAATATAATACAGTAGGCATTACCAACCATTAAAATTACTTCAAATGTAATAACCAATATAAAATAAAATTGCACATTGTGCATGAATAACATTATAACAAACAATGTACTTTACTGTGTCATAGCAAAAATGTCAAAATGAACGACAATAACAAAGTTTCACAAATTTTACACAACAATAATACATTTCTACACAGAAGCCAAATAACATACCATGTTGTGATATAAAAAATCACACTATATACAACAATAATAAACTTTTACATTCTGAACAAAACAATAATAAACTTTCACATTATGTACAGATAACAACATACCATATTGTGATATAAACAAGAGGCCCAGAGGCGCCTGTATCGCTCACCTGGATATCTAAGCAATCATGGCAAAATATTCTCCAAATGAGATCCAAGGGAATATGCCAGACCCAAAGGCCAATCCAGGATCAACTCTAATATCATGACTGCATTCGTCTCTTTATGCCCAACAATTGTTTATATAGTTTTGGGGTGGGGATCTTAACAATTTCAAAGTTATGACCCAGGGGTTAAGTCTCCAAGGCTGGGCAGACCCCAAGGCCATCTTGGAAGCATATGTGCATTTATTTCTTTATAATTAGCAATTGTATATATGGTTATAGGGTGGGGATCTCAACTGTTTCGAAGCTGTGACTAAGAAACTAGGTCCCTAGGGGTTTAGTCAGACCCCAGGGTCTATTCTATTATCATCACTGCATTCGTCTCTTTATGCCCAGCATTTAAATATATAGTTTTGGGGAGGAGATCTCAACCGTTTCAAAGTTATGACTCAGGGACTATGTCTCCAAGGGTGGGGCCAGACCCTAGGGCCATCCTGGAAGCAACTGTGCATTCTTCTCTTCATACTCGGCAATTGTATATATGGTTATACGGTTGGGATCTCAACAGTTTCCAAGTGATAAACTTATTTTGGCCTTAGCCCGGGGGGTCAGTCCAAAAATTTGTACAACTTTGAATCTCCACCAGCTACGTATGCTTCCAGTCAAATATGGCTAATAACCATCTCTTAGTTCCAGAGAAGAAGTCCCTTAAAGCAATATAAACAAATGGCCCCCTTTTGGCCCCACACCTCAGCCCCCTGGGGGTCAGCCCCACCATTTGTACAATTTTGAATCCCCACCACCTAGGGATGCTTCCAGTCAAATATGGTTGATATCCATCTCTTAGTTCCTGAGAAGAAGTCACTTAAAACAATATAGCCAAATTGCCCCTTTTGGCCCCACCCCTCAGCCCCCTGGGGGTCAGCCCCACCATTTGTACAATTTTAAATCCCTACCACCTCGGGATCCTTCCAGTCAAATTTAGTTACATTATAATCAGTGGTTAAGAAGAAGAAGTCGTTGAAAGAAATTGTTGACGGACGGACGACGGACGCCACGGTATGGCATAAGCTCACCTTGGTCCTTCGGACCCGGTGAGCTAAACATATCACACTTTATAATATACAGTTAACAACATATATTGTGGTTTAACGAATATCACACTATACAACAATAATAAACTTTTACATTATGTACAAATAGCAACATACGATATTGTGGTATACAAATATCACATTGTAAAAATAACACTGTTGTATGTAATATAAAAAATGAACTTGAAATATAGGCCTATTGGGTATATACATGTAATAACCAATATAGAATATAATCCTGACTAATGTGATGTATAAAATACTTCCAGGCCAAAATGTCTTTCCTGTTGGGTATTGCACAACCTTAACCTAGTACCGCATTCCTTACAACCTTTCTGGTCCAGGTATTCAGATAACATCGCAAGTTCAACCACTCGTCTACCCTGCGGCCAGGTTAAAAAGTTATTGACGTAATCGTGATCACTAGTACTGGAGGGATCCTCATCGGACGTCGGTGTCAGCTCATCAGTAAAATTGCCACTAACTTACTTAGCTTAGTAGGGGCCTCAGTAGCCAGCGTCTCTTCAATGTGTGAACGAGTGTCACTTTGTTTCGTCGCATAGTTGTGGTCTAGCAGTTGATATTGGACATCGTTGTTGTTATTGTTGTCTATTAATGCGTTTAGTTTACATTTAAAACGGCCGATTTTACGTCGGGCTTGCATGTCGACCATCAATGCCACGACGTTGTTTACATCGTTACGACAGCTTTTTTTGCCCACACTTTCGCGATTGGAGATTTTCAACGCAAGGGACACAACTCTGTAGTCGAAACGTTATTCAAACGAAATCTATTCAAGGGAAGATAACAACATAGTCGAAATGGTAATCAGGGGCAGGTGACTCTTAACACTGAAAAACGACAGTGGAAATCTTTAGTGTTTTGCTCTGGCTTGGACGGAGATCCTTAAATGACCATAGCTGTTGATAGGACGTTAAACAATACTACACCAGTTGGGATTCCTGGGCCAGGGCGGGGCCCAACAAGGGAAATCAACCATTATGTTAAAAATCTTATTGTATATATTCATGTTCTTATAGGGAGGTTATGTTATGTTTGTTATGTACCCCGGGTCTCATACAACCGGTTATGCCCGACCGTAGAGAAACGTCTCTGATTCCGTTAGCTTCAGTACTTTGTATCTTTTGCCAGGCTTGTCCGGAGGCTGAGATTATCCGGGGGTCCCTATGGTTGATGCGGGGTTTTCAGCTTTTATTCTAGTGGGTGTATGTTTATATATATGAAATAAATATTTGAGCAATCAAAAAGTACAAATTGGCAGATAGGAAGCGGATAGCAAGGATTGCCTTACAGGCCGAGATTCAGTGAAATTTGTGTATGTTGGTGTTATCTGGAACATTGACAGTATCGCTCACCTGAATATGTTTAAAATAATTGGTATGAAGTAAACATATAGCACTCCATGGTAGGTGGTGTAAGTACATATGAATTTCAGAAAGATCCATTCAGTACTTAAGATATAGCGAGAACAAACTTCAAACAGAGCCCACTCCTATGCCCCTAGGGAGGCGATACCCACCAAAATACAAAATTGAGACCCCTTGGCCCAAGGATGCTCCAGACTAAATAAGGATAACATCCCTTAATCCTGATGGTCAAAGATGGATTTTAAAGGTTTTACCGCTATTTCTCCTATTGGGCCCCCTGGAATACCACACCCACTGCCTATACAAAATTGAGTCCCCTTAGTCCAAGGATGCTCCAGACCAAATAAGGATAAAATCACTTAATCCCTATGGTAGAAGGATACCTCTATTTCCCCTATTGGGGCCCCGCCTCTATGCCTCCAGGGGGTTTGACACATGCACCGTTTATACAAAATTGGTTCCCCTTCACCCAAGGATTCTTCATACCAAATTTGGACCAAAGCATGTCATTCATACAGAAGAAGAAGGTATTTGAAGAGTTTGCTATGTTCTCCTTATTGGGCCCCTCCCTTCTGCCCCCAGGGACTCCACACTGTTTATACGAAAGTGAGTCCCTTATGCCCAAGGATGATTTAGACAAAATTAGGATAAAATCCCTTAATCCGTATGGTAGAAAAAGAATTATAAAGGTTTTACTTCTATTTCCCCGATTGGGCCCCGCCCCTCAGGTCCCAGGGGGGGCACACCCACTGTTTATACAAAATTGGTTCCCCTTCACCGAAGGATGCNCCTTACGGTAGAAGAAGGATTTTAAATGTTTTATCTCTATTTCTCCCATTGGGTCCGGACCCTTTGCCCCAAGGGGGCCACACCCACCGCCGTTTATACGAAATTGAGTCCCCTTGGCCTAATGATGTTCCAGTTAAATTTAGTCAAAATCTACTTGGCCGTTAAGGACTAGTAGCGTT